TTTTTTGAGATGGAGTCTTACTCTGTCGCCCAGGTTGGAGTGCAGTGGCAGGATCTCGGCTCACTGCAACCTCCACCTCCCAGGTTCTAGCGATTCTTCTGCCTCAGCCTCCTAAGTAGCTGGGATTACAGGTGCACACCACCACCCCCAGCTAATTTTTGTATTTTTAGTAGAGATGGGGTTACACTATGTTGGCCAGGCAGGTCTTCAACTCCTGACCTCATGATCCGCCCACCTCGGCCTCCCAAAGTGCTGGCATTACAGGTGTGAGCCACTGCACCTGGCCCTTCAGATGATTCCTTTTCAGAGTGATACTCTATCAGATTGAGGTGTTCTCTCTCTGCCAACACTAGTGACTCCAGTTAGAACTAGCTGCTGGTGGTCTGGAAGGGGATAGCAAGGCTGTGCCTTCAGCCTTCACAAAGCTTATTTAACTATGCACTTCCACAGCCTCTTCCCTTGTGTCCCTAACTATCCTAGCACATTGCTTACTGCTGAGCCTGATTCCAGTGTCATTCCTGCTGAAATTAAATACAGGCTTCAATTGCAGGAGAATGTGTTATCAGAAGAAAAACACCTTCAACGTAGGGGAATATTCTGACAATAGCTTACCTAGAGAAATACTATAATTTTATGCAGGGTTCAAATCATTTCTAAGCCATAATTGATGTACATCTGCAGATTGTTCTAGTATTATACTTTTAAGTACCTAGAAACAAAAGAACTGTCTATTAACATCCTGTTGGGGTGCTTAGGATTCCTAGCCACAAAGATTCAAGGGCAGAGGTACATAGGTTTGAATTATGAATGGCATCACTTCTTATCAGACAGTAGTTTTTTAGTCATTTCAACCCAGAGCCTCTAACTGTGCCATTGCATTCTGAATTATAGGTGTGATGAACCAAGGAGTGGCCCCTATGGTAGGGACTCCAGCACCAGGTGGAAGTCCATATGGACAACAGGTGAGCCTCCCAGTTTGATTTTCTAGGACTTGACAGAATTCCAGTTATCCTCCTTAGAACATGTGCAGAGTATCTTTTTGCCTCACCATGTGACCCTGTGCTCTTTCAGGTGGGAGTTTTGGGGCCTCCTGGGCAGCAGGCACCACCTCCATATCCCGGCCCACATCCAGCCGGACCCCCCGTCATACAGCAGCCAACAACACCCATGTTTGTAGCTCCCCCACCAAAGACCCAGCGGCTTCTTCACTCAGAGGCCTACCTGAAATACATTGAAGGACTCAGTGCCGAGTCCAACAGCATTAGCAAGTGGGATCAGACACTGGCAGGTAAGGAGATTCCTTCTAAATAAGCCTTTGTGAAATATATGCTTCCTTAAAGCTGTCTCACTGCTATTAGTATATTATTTCATACAATAAACATCCCTTTTTCTTACATAGTTAAATTGTATATTTCATAGAATGATTTGGAGTTTCTTTGCATGTTGACATCACACACAGAAAAGGGTTTGTTTTTTGTTTGTTTTTTAGATGAAGTCTCTTGTCACCCAGGCTGGAGTGCAGTGGTGCAATCTCAACTCACTACAACCTCCGCCTCCTGGGTTCAAGTAATTCTCCTGCCTCAGCCTCCCGAGTAGCAGGGATTACAGGCATGCACCACCATGCCCGGCTAATTTTTGCATTTTTAATAGAGATGGGGTTTCACCATATCAGCCAGGCTGGTCTCAAACTCTTGACCTCAAGTGATCTGCCTGCCTCCCAAAGTGCTGGGATTACAGGGGGTGAGTCACTTGTGCCCAGCCTGAAAATGGTTTTTGGGGTTTTTTTAATTGTTTTTTGAGACAGTCTTACTGTATCACCCAGGCTGGAGTGCAGTAGTGCAGTCTCGGCTCACTGCAACCTCTGACCCCTGGGTTCAAGCAATTCTTTTTTTTTTTTAATCAAACAGCGTAAGAAGATCAAGCAATTCTTGTGCCTCAGCCTCCTGAGCAGCTGGAATTACAGGCGCTTGCCACGACACCCGACTAATTTTTGTTATTTTTGGTGAAGACGGGGTTTCGCCATTTTGGCCAGGCTGGTCTCAAACTCCTGACCCCAGGTGATCCACTCACCTTGGCCTCCCAAAGTGCTTGGATTATAGGCATGAGCCACCACATCTGGCCTGAAAAAAAAATTTTTTTTTTTTTTTTTGCCAAATTTCAAAGCCTAGTTTTCTCATAAACATCCCTGCCATCTTTTTAAGTATATTTTTATTTTTTTCCGGGTGTTTGAACATTAGTATAGATGCATTTGGGTAAATTAAAAATTATTGCCCAGGCACAGTGGCTCCCACTTTGGGAGGCTTAACTGGACAGATCACTTGAGCTCAGGAGTTTGAGACCAGCCTGGGCAACATGGCGAAACCATGTCTCTACAAAAAAATTTAAAACTTTGCCAGATGAGGGCCGGGAGCAGTGGTTCACCCCTTTAATCCCAGCACTTTGGGAGGTTGAGGCAGGCAGATCACTTAAGGTCAGGAGATCAAGACCAGCCTGGCCAACATGGTGAAATCTCATCTCTACTAAAACATAAAAATTAGCCAGACGTGGTGGCAAGTGCCTGTAATCCTAGCTACTTGGCAGTCTGAGGCATGAGAATCCCTTAAACCCAGGAGGTGGAGGTTGCAATGAGCCAAGATTGCACCACTGCACTCCAGCCTGGGCAACAGAATAAGACTCTGTCTCAAATAAAGAAAACTATTTTACTTCAGTTTAACAAAAGGAAAAAAATATTAGAAACCTATTAGGCTCTTCATTTAGTTCAACATACTTAATGTATTTTCAGTTAAGTACTGAAGTACTTGTGTAGTTTATGGAGAGAAGTTTACAAGTTTCTACTTGTTCTTGATTTCTAAACCAACTTTGGTAATTTCATTTCTTTTCCCTTTCTTCACATGTTTACCTTTTTAGGAATTTTTTTTTTTTTTTTTTTTTTTTTTTTTTTTTTATTTTTTTTTTTTTTTTTTTTTTTTTTTTTTAGATGAAGTCTTGCTCTGTCGCTAGGCTGGAGT